AGTTTTCGTTTTTAGCCTTTGCTTCCCCAACAGCCATAACATAAAGCTTTGACGTGTGGTAAAATACAATTTGCCCAAATATTAGAACACCATTTTACTTTACCGCTTCTTGTTCTCAACAATTCATAACAATCTGATATAGAAACAATACCAGGTTTACAATTTGCTCTTATCCAAATTGCACAATCTTGGCATCTTTGGAGTTCTACACGTTGAATACTTCCTGCAATCCCTGGATGTCTTCTCTTGAAGCTCATAGAAACATTCCACTCACATTGTGGTGCCCACTGTGCCACTGTAAAATTTGGACCCCATGTTGAAATCTCATTGGCTAGTCCCTCCAGCTTAACTAACCTTCCAATCTCCATCCAACAGTCATAGAAAAAGAAGTTTAACGCCCATCACCCACCTTCATCACTATATTTTGTTTTAAGAGAGGCCTCAGCTATAACATCTTCCTCCATGACCATGCACAATCCTGAGGAATGTTTGCTGCCCATATACTGCCCCCTCTCAATTTTTCTTTTGCCCACTTAGCCCATAAGGAATCATGATCACTACAAATGGTCCACAAGTGTTTTTCCATTGCCGCCATATTCCAAATTTTAACTTGTTTAACCCCTAAACCTCCTTCAGACCTTGGAAGACATACCTCCTCCCATGAAACAAGGGCTAAACCTTGTTTATCCCAACTTCCAGACCATAGGAAATTCCTACATAATTGTTCAAACAGTTTAATAATTTTCCCTGGCAATATAAACATGCTGCTCCTAAAAAACTTGCATTGGGAACAACACTGATATGAGTAATTGGAGTTTCCCTGCAAAAGATAACAAATGGTTTCCCCATGCATCCAACTTCCTTTTAAGCATTTCAATTAATGGTTGACAATCCCCCACAGAAAGCTTTGTTGGAATCAATGGAACATCAAGATATTTAATCGGGAGTCTGCCTTCTTGATACCCTAGCATATTAATTATCCTTCTCCTTCTCACGGTGGAAATACCACTCACAAAAACATGACTTTTCTCCTTATTAACCTCTAGGCCTGACACTGTAGAAAATGAGTTAACAATTTCCTTCAATTTTTGGCACAAGTATTCCTCTGCTTTGCAAAAAATCATACGATCATCAACAAACATGAGGTGGGTTAACTTTAGTCCCTTACAATGCAAATGATATTGAAACCGACCATCTATCTCCACAGGCTTCATGAGCCTTGAAAGATATTGCTGTAAAGTGAGGCGGAAGTGGAGGGTGCAAAACCATATTAGGTTATATAAAATGTAAAGTTACATAAAAGCCCTTAATATAAAACAAAATTACAAAATATGCCTATTTCCTACACTCCTCCTCAAACTGAGGCTGGGAAACCAGTGTCAGTTTGCTCACTAAAAACTTGTGTCGTGCAGTTGTCATTGCCTTTGTAAAAATATCTGCAATTTGATGCTTAGAAGCAATATAAGGAAGAGTAATGGCACCTGCAAGATACATATTCCGTATAAAGTGGCAATCCACTTCAATGTGCTTGGTACGCTCGTGAAAGACAGGATTGGATGCAATACGAATAGCACTCATATTATCAGCATAAAGAGGTGAAGGAGGAGTAGGAAAAGTAAGTGTCTGTAAAAATCCTCGAAGCTAAGTTAATTCACTACATGCTGAAGACATTGCTCGGTATTCAGCTTCAGCAATGGATTTGGACACTGTTTTCTGTTTCTTACATTTCCAAGAAATAAGGGAATCACCAAGAAACACACACCAACCTGTGGTTGAGCGACATGTATCAGGACAACCTGCCCAATCAGCATCTGCATAAGCTTGCAATTGCATACAAGGATGAGAGGAGAAGAAAAGTCCCCTTGAAATAGTGCCACAAAGATATCGAATTATGCGAAGAACAACCGTTAGATGTAACCGCGGAGGATCTACAACAAATTGACTAACCACTTGCACAGCATAAGCAATATCAGGTCTAGTCATAGTAAGATAAAGGAGGCGACCCACAAGTTGATGATAAAAGCTAGGATTAGAGAGTTTTTCACCATCCTCCTGCCTAAGCTTGACATTTACTTCCATTGGAGTCTCAACACACTTATCATCAGATAAATTTGCAAATTGGATCAAATCCAGAACATACTTCCATTGATTCACTGCATAACCTCGAGAAGATGAGTGAACTTCTAAACCAAGAAAATAAGTCAGTGGCCCCAAATCCTTCATCTGAAAAGAACGACAAAGTAACTCTTTCAACTTAGCAATACCTTCCTTATTACTATCGGTAATAAGCATATCGTCGACATAAATCAAAAGTAGAGTAACACCGTGCGGAGAGTTATGCATGAACAAAGAATAATCATGAGAACTCTGAACATACCCAGCATCTACAATAACTTGACGGAAGCATTCAAACCAAGCTCGAGGAGCTTGCTTAAGACCATATAATGATCTCTTTAATTTGCAAACCATGGATTTAGAATGTGAATAACCTGGAGGAGGCTTCATATAAACAGTTTCTTTCAAATTCCCATGCAGAAAAGCATTCTTTCCATCCATTTGAGAAATAGGCCACTGATGCATTGCCGAAAGAGCAATAAGTAATCTCACTGTAGTCATTTTAGCCACTGGTGCAAATGTTTCTATATAATCAATTCCATACTCTTGCTTATAACCTTGGGCAACAAGTCTTGCTTTATATCGCTCAATACTACCGTCCGCTTTGAGCTTAATAGAAAAGACCCACCTGCTACCAATAATAGACACATTAGAAGGACAAGGTACCATATCCCAAGTGTCATTCTCCAATAAGGCACTTAATTCAAAATCCATAGCTTCCTTCCAGCAAGGAATGCTAACAGCCTTCTGGTAAGAATGAGGTATATCAACAAAATCTAATGTTGTCAACAAAGAGACAGAGGTAAAAAGGTTAAGATGATCAGGTGGATGAATAGTACGGGCAGAACGACGTAAAGAAACAATGGAATTAGTAGAGGCATTAGAAGCAGGATTAGAATCACTTACTGATTGAGCATCCACAAGTGTACCATCTTCTGGTTGGTGAAAGGAACAAGTTTGAGGTTGTTCATTTGCTGCATGGAATTGATCAATGGAAACTTGTTCTGCTAGAGCATTATGATCAAGTGAAAAGTCATGCAACACAGAAGGTGAGGAATTATTGGGTTTTGCAATTGCATCAAAATAAAATAAATTTTCCAAGAAAACCACATGTCTAGAAATGCGAATTCTACCAATTTTTGGATCATAACACAAGAAACCCTTTTGATCAATGCCATATCCAACAAAAACACACATGGCAGCTTGATTTGATAATTTTTTCCTTTCATGAGGTGGTAAATGAACAAAGCACACACAACCAAAAACATGTAAACGAGAATAATCAGGATGGCATTTATGCAAGGAGTAATATGGAGAGATGTTATGCAATACTTCAGAAGGAATACGGTTAAT